GCTTAAATTACAGCAGTAATATATGTTAGACCTTGAAAAAAACCTTTATAATAATGATAGTGAAGCTCAAGAATGGCTAGATGGTGAAAAAACTATTGACTCCATCACTGGACTCTTCACTGAATGTCAGAATTCTCTGATATGTCACTTCTGTCAGAAGTGACATAGCATTCTGTTTCTGATCTTCAGCAAGTATAAGAACTCCTGTGGATCTCTTTCTGTCTCAGGGGAGATGAGGATTTGTCAGAGGGAGCTGGGAAAAAGAGCTGTATCAAGTAGAGACACCATGTTCCTTGTTTCCTCTTCAGTGCCGGCCTTTGAGAGAGACAAAACACTTCTGCTCTGTCTTAACTAAATGTATCATCCCTTCCCCTCCCAATTTCTAAGAACTGGGTCAGCCACAAATCACTTCTATAAGAATTATGCTGTCGATACTTACTTTCATCTTCAATGTACCCCTTCCAGTCAAATGGAGTCACTGTTGAGTTAACTAAGGTACCATTTTCACCTAGAGTGCTGTTTAGTTGGGAGGTAATATTTGTTTCCAAAGTAAAATTTTCTGGAGGCCACTGCAGGCATTTATTCCTCAAGTTGCCCATGAACAGCTGCAGCCCTATTAGTGCAAATACACTCAGACAAAACACAGTCAGGATCATAACGTCCGAGAGCTTCTTCACAGACTGAATTAGGGCTCCCACAATAGTCTTCAAGCCTGCAAATGCAAAGGAATTTTTATTCCGATGTTCAAAACTGTTTTTAAACCATAAAAATTACAGTGTCTCCCAGTAAAGTTATCGATTTCATGCAGAAGCCCAAATAAATGATTGTAATGTCTGTGAAACAACATTTCTGTGAAGAGCTTTTTCACTTGTGAAAATGAATAAATAGCTGAAATTTATGTTCATTTGAAACTGTGAATGAAATGAGTTGCATATATTTCAAAACACTTGTTTTAATGTTAAAACAAGTGACTTTTGTATTCATGTTGTACATGAATCTCACATAAAAGTCTTCTTTTTATTTGTCAATACCTCTTGCCCCAAACCTTTGCTACTATCAGTTTTATAACACACTAGATTTAGAAGACGGTAGTAAAAACCTGTTCAACAATAAATATAATTAAAATTTAATGCTATAAAACTGGAGATGGTTTGGAAAATCATAGAATTTTAAGATAATAAATCCCCCATGCAATGCCCATGCTACTCTTTATTATCTTATTCCTTCATCTTCTTACTAAGTCAACAGTTCTATTTTTTAGACACAAATATTCACCACAAATACCACATAACATCATGTAGGTAAGATACACGTGGGTAAGAAAACTTCAGGGTTACTGATAGTCATTGAATGTGGAGAAGAAGGCTTGACATCATACGATGCGAACCACACACACTGTGTACTGCAATGTCTCATGCAAGAATCTGTTAAACTCAAAGGCTGATTTCAAAAGGCAAGAGCTCATGTTAAAAAGCAATGAATCAGAGATTTCAGTGAATTCTAATATCTTCCGATTCCTGCTTTTTTTGTGAAAGAAATATAAGACTCATGTTTAAAAAATACAAATTCCATTTTAGTGAATTAAAGTCAGCCTCAGTGTTTAACCTAGCTCTCACCTGGGATGACTGATATTGTTTTCAAAGCTCGGAGAACTCTGAATGTTCTCAACGCTGAGACATTGCCCAGGTCCACAAACTCTGTCACATATCTGTAATAGGGGAGTTCACACACAAACACAATGACAGGATAAAAAGGAACAGTTGGGAGGTACAAGGGGCCTAACACCTTACACCAACTACTTCTTACCTGGAATTACAGAAATAGTTTTCAAAGCTCTCAGTACTCTGAAAGTTCGAAGAGCTGAAACATTGCCTAGGTTTACAAATTCTGTTACATACCTGTAGGATTAAATCACAGTTATTCAGAATTTAGGCAAAGTTTATGCTACTTACTTGGGTCTTTCATCAAGACCACTTTGGCGTTTTTAGCAAAAAATTAAATAGCAATAGTCAGAGGTTTACCTTTCACTGCAGTGTGCCTTGTATTAATATGCTTTCAGAGCCTTCAGTTAAATTAAGTGTCTCTGAAGTGAATCACAGTGATTTAATTTTGAAAGCCTAAAGTTTATCTAGACTAGATTGGTAAGTTTGGAGAATGAAGCAAAGGGATGTTCCTTTTCTGCTCAGAGAAAAAAAATGCAGGACATGAAATTAGCCCCTCTAATACTAGCTGTACTATTGGCTTCTGCAGTGTTTATGTTTATATCAAAATATACATACTAGAATATGAAAATCGTTTTAGACCAAGGTAAATCCATATTTCCATTTAACAAAATTGATATGTGTGGATACTAATTTCATGCCCTTTTTGCCCTTCGCTTTCAAAGAAAAAGCAAAAAACGAAAACTTACGCAAATGTAATGACAGTGAAATCTAGCCAGTTCCATGGATCTCGAAGAAACGTAAAATCTTCTAAGCAAAAGCCCCTTGCAATGATTTTTATGAGTGACTCAAATGTGTAAATTCCAGTGAACGTATACCTGGAAAATTAATATATATGGAAGTTTAATCAAAATAAGAAGCAATATTTTACAATGGTATTCTGATAGAAAACTGATGATCAAATGAAAGACTTTTTAATTTAAAAACTGGAAAAGAAATACAGGAAACATGCAATTTCTTCTAAAATGCATTATATTCATCACACGTATTTGAGTATTTACATGCATTAGTTGTGACATACTGCTGAGTACAGTTCTCCTGACCTTGTACATAACTAAAAATTACTAAAAATAAAAAAAATCCATCAAATAAATTTATTTGTGACACTCAGTTTCAAAGTGTACAACACTAGATCTGTTACAAATAAAGTTGTGAGTGTCACTGGATGCTGTTTGAATTATCAGCATCTAGAATATTTGGTATTAACTCTAAAGAAGGAAGAATGCAAACATGCATTGAATTCTCACTTTAGTAATACTTTTGCTTATACGCCTTCCTTAACTGAGGTGTACAAATAGGTGCTATAAATGCAGTGGCAGAAAGGAGGCATAGAAAAATTGGGAAGATGCTAAACCATGAAGACGAGAGAAAAACAGTGGAATCTCAGTAGAATACTATCTGTAAACAACTTTCATTTTTTCTACCCATTCATTCTACTAAAAGGAAATTTAAATAATTATGCAACATTTCTACATAGTTTAGACAGGAAATGGCAGTAGTGTCTCATGACAGTTCCCACCAGCACACAACTGCTGTAACTGATATGCTGACTTCTAGAAGAACAATCAAAGATTGCTTTAAATAACATATGCAACTTACTCTACATTCTTTGTCCAGTCTGGAGGGTTACTCATGGTCATAAATACACAGTTGGTCAAAATAGTGCACATGATAAGCATGCTGAATAATGTAGGTATAGTTAAGGAAAACACAGTAGTAATTCGTACAAGATCACGTCAGCCATACATCTTAAGTACAGTAAAATATTGCCACTTACACAAATCTTTAAAACTTTGCTAAACATTTCACATATATTTTGCTTAACCTGGTAGCATTCACTTTAGCACAATAAACTTTAATATTACTCTCCATTTGTTGATGTTCCAATGTTGATTTGTTGATGTGCTCATGTTTTGTTTTCAGCTGGTACAGAAAGGTGAAGGAAGTGGCTCTCACAGGCCTGGGAGGTAACGTGAGCTGGTAATAGCCAAAACCAAAAGAGCTTGCAGGAGAGTACTGTTTCACTTAAGCACCTCACATGACTAAATAAGCAGTCTTTCACTTCTACAGTTTATGGTACTAAACTCAACCGCTGGCATATGCAAGGTAAAAAAAGTTTATCTTGCTTACAATGAGTCAGAGCTGTAGAGAAAACACCCCCCACCCCAGCACCCAGCACAGCCAGTCTATCAAAGACACGGTTCAGTTAGTGAAATAGAAATCCATAGAGAGTTCACACATTGAAGTGAATAATTGAAGTGAATAATTTTCCAACATTATTTTGGGGCTGTCTTGAAACACGTTAGCAGCAACAGAAGTAGCTCTTGTTCTACTAGTGCTATAATTAGTAGTCAATTATTTGAAAAACATGGAAAACTGGTGAAGATTAGAAAGAAAATTAATTTTCATTTAATGTTCCAGCTAGGAACAATTAGTTATTCTTGAACTATGAAATCCAGACTAACAGCTCAGAGGAGCTTGTGGTAGGGACGTGGGACAGTCTACCATGATTTTGTCACATCCAATGTGATATTCTTGGTTTAAAAGATCAGTGGCTCTACAAACAGTGTGGTCCTTCTCTTTTCACGGCAAGAAACTCGAATATTCAAACATTTGATTATTCATATATATTGATACCGAAGTAATCAAACTAGACCGAAACCTGACTCAAAACGGCCACATGATGGCAGCAAAAAATAAGAGCCACACTGCCTTTATGTTTAACGTTTAACTCAACTCTAATTTTCCCTCTAGTCATCTGTTTAACTGAAGTGTTCCTTAAAAATAGTTGCACAAACATAACTGGCAAAGAAGCTAGCTTAAAATCAAGAAAGCCATTTACACACAAACTTGTATATGTTGCCATACAAGCTCTGTACAATAAAAATTACTGTTCAGTAGCTTAGAATAAAGGATTAAAATGCCTTACAATGTTTGTCCTCACAGTCCACAGCCAGCTCTAATGTAATTGGGAAATTCCTTTAAATAAAGATAATGCCTTTTGGTAGTTGAAAAACTTGGAGATACCTGGCTGCAGCTTCAGTAGTCTCATAAAACAGTTGAAGAAGTGGACTGTCCTCCTAGGAGAGCTGAGGGTTACACTATGCAGTGTATCATGTGTCTACAGCTAGATATCACTCATAACAAAGCCCAGAGGTACGTCTTTGTGCATCTCTCACTCTGTACATAACTAACCACTTCTGTGAGCTGCACGGCCAAAGTGCTGCTCACTCTCAAAGGGAGCAGATGTTCAAAAGGTGCTAAGTCACTTTGAAATATAAACTCTGGCCATGCTTTCCCAATGGGGATCTCAGTAATAACTGACACATTCAATACCTGTGCCTCTCCTCCCACATTTGAAGTGTTTGATTTACAACCTCAACATCCCCTTAATTTACTCTTTTATGTTCTAGAATAATTCAATTGTTCACATAGGTAAATGATTCTTTTATGTGATGACTTCTTCATGGAAACATACTGTCTTTTTCATGCTTTCCCATATAGGCAATCAGAAGGTTTAGGCACTATACAGCCTCACGCTAATCAATTATTTGATCAGCTGAAGTCTCTTATCGCCTGTGTGGACTTGGCGGAAGATGAAAACTGTAAAAAACAAAGGTTGCCAATTGGTTTCACAGATACCTGCTGGCAGTCAGGCCACACTGAGTACCACTATAATTTCGGCTTCAAAGGCTAGCATGGGATACTTAGCAGGTACCATATTTTCTCTAGAGCATTTCTCTGTTCCTTTCTAACACTCCTTGTGCTCTGCACCTCCAGCCACTGCCACCTCCCTTTTTTTGTCTGCTCAACCCACTAGCTGTTCTTACCGTTTCATCCTTTCCTACTAACTGCCAAAGTCTGGACATCTCCCATGACTCTTTTGTTCCCCCCTGTTTCACACTCTAGCTCAAGTCAGACAGGGAAGAAAACACCACAACAACCCCAAACCAGAATACCAGGATGTGTCAGCAGAGCATGAAGAGCATGAGAAAAATCCATGCTGTTACCAGTTGTTGTAGCTGGTATTACAATAGGAACCAGCGGTGAGGAAAAATAATTGCAGAGAAAGTCTCTGAGCATTCTAAAGAGGCACACTGCTTCTTTACATGGAGAGCAACATCTAACACTGTGTCTGAACACATGTGAGCAGAGCACCCTATACAGAGGCTCAGAGAATTTGGAGAATGTACAGATGAAAGTTTACCAACCAATATGCCAATTTCATTGCGCTTAATACGCATCTTTCACAACGAAAGTGAAAGGCACGTTTCTGTTACGAAGGCCAAAATGCCAAAGACTCACCTCAAAACATGAGGGCAGTAGAGTTTATCAATAAAAGAAGATAATAAAAAATAATAACCAACATTATTCCCTAATCTTTTTCTTACAGGTGGCTAACCTTGTATAAGCAGCTGAAATCTAAATTGCATTGTGGAACATATTATGCCGTTCTTCGTTAAACACATTCGTATTTGCAGTTTGTACTATACTGAATGAAAAAAAAAAGAGAAAAAGAAAAAAAGAAGTTGTGCATCTATTCTCATGTTTAAGATTAAATAAATAAATAAATGAAACTCCTTGTCATGGTTTAAGCCCAGCTGGTAACTCAGAACCACGCAGCCGCTTGCTCCCTCCTTTCTTCCCCTCCTCCCGGAGGGATGGGGAGGAGAATCTAAAGAATGCAACTCCCACAGGTTGAGATAAGAGCAGTCCAGTAACTAAATACAAAACACTACTGCTACCACTAGTAATAACAATGATAAGGGAAAGAACAAGTGATGCACAATACAATTGCTCACCAACTGCCGACCAATACCCAGCCTGACCCGAGCAGTGACCTGAGCCTTCCACGTAACTCCCCCCACTTTATATATTGGGCATGACGTGCTGTGGTGTGGAATACCCCTTTGGCCAGTTTGGGTCAGGTGTCCTGTCTCTGCTTCCTCCTGGCTTCCCGTGCCCCTCCTCCCCAGCAGAATATGAGACTGAAGTCATTGATTGGGGTAAGCATTACTTAACAACAACTGAAAACATTGGTGTGTTATCAGCGTTGTTCTCAGATTAAAGCTGAAAACACAGAACTGCACCAGCTACTAGGAAGGAGAAAAATGACTGCTACAGCTGAACCCAGGACACTCTTACATCTACATCTAAGATAAAAATAGTCCACCCCATACTTGGATGGTTGGAAAAGAAACCAGTCCATATAGTAAAAGGAAAACTCCTCCTATAATAGAGTTAAATTACATAATCACACACAGTAATCAGTTAATAGAAGGAAAAATTATTGGAATTGCAAACTGTTTATTAGAATTGCTTTTGTTCTGACTGCCACCAAGACCAGCTGGATACTCTTTGAATACAAATATGAGGATCTTAAATCCACAACCAAACTCAGCAATCAGTACACCAGTAAAAAACACAGGAAACTATAGACCAGTCAGTCTCAC